TCACTTAATGATCTTTGCCATGGATCTAGGAAGGCAGCATAGCACATCCCTATTTTAAGGTTTCTCTAAGAATATCTTGCATAGGTCTTTAAATGGACTGGAGCAATAAATGCTTTGGCCTAAAGACTCTTGCTGCTCTGCTTTTGCCCCTTAGGAATGCACAGCCTCGTTGCTACCGGCCATCTCTTATCAGTGGATCCAGACAGGATGGTCATCAAGAGAGTTGTTCTGAGTGGTCATCCTTTCAAAATTTTTACTAAGATGGCAGTAGTACGTTACATGTTCTTCAGCAGAGGTAGGTGTGAAGGGTGGGATCTGATTGCTTTATGGGGTGAAGGTTGGATGTACATTTTGCAGGTAAATGTATCTTGGTCTTCTGTGTGTTTCATTCTAAGAGGACGTGCTGTGGTTTAAACCGGTGGAACTGAGAACAAAGTGGGGCCGCAGGGGACATATCAAGGAGCCTTTAGGTAAGAGAATGTAGTGTTTGGAACCTTAGCTAGGTATCTCCAGTGCTACTAAGTGGCTATTAGGGCAGAAACCTGTGCTAAAATTTTATTTTAATCTCACCGACTTGCTGTGTTTTCTTTCTAGGTACTCATGGCCATATGAAGTGCAGTTTTGATGGGAAGCTAAAATCTCAGGACACAGTACTGATGAACCTCTATAAACGAGTTTTCCCCAAATGGACTTATGACCCATATGTACCAGAACCAGTACCTTGGGTGAAAAGTGAAATTTCAACAGTGCCAGAAATGGACATGAAGTAATGGATACAATGGGATTCTGTCTCCTTGCTACTAGCTTAGCACCCTAGGGATGGGAACCTACAGGTTGTGATTGGGCAGAGTTTGTGTTACCTATTTTAGCCTGCAAGCCTGCTGTCCCTTTTTGCAAAAGATTTTTCTTGGCCTTGACAAGGTGTCTCAGTTAAGTGGATGTTTTTTCTATTGCTACTTTATAAAAAAAAACAACCTTAAATCTTATTGATAATCTACCCTCCATTAGGATGTTGAAAGCTGTTTAAGTAGGTGAGAAGTGGGAAGTTAACATTGACTAAGAAACAAAATTTCCAAGTGTCTAGAAAAACTGAATCACATTTCTTCCTTATGCATAAATTAAACAGAAACAGATTGATAAGGGGCTGGCCTTTCAGCCTGCTTCATCCAAGTTATGGAAGTTAAATCTACATTTCCACCACTGAGCACAATACAGATGTTCTTTACTTCTGGGGAAATAGTTTGAAAATGCTGAGACAGAACAGCAGCCACTCCAACAGCAGCTGTAGGTTCAATGAGCAGTTTCATCCTCTCCCATACCAGCTGGGTTGCATACTGTTGGTAGAGAGGGAGTAGGAATTAGTGAAACGGGAGAAGGAAAGCCTAGTTGGTGGGCCTTTACACTTAAAAGCTAAATGTTATATATACATATGCTTGCCAATGAAGAGCTAGTCTTTTTGTTTTTTTTTTCATTCTAACTCTGCTTCTGATGAGGGTTGTCCCAATATCTAGAGCACCCTCCCACGTCATGAGTCACCAAGTCACATCCCCAGGGGATGAGTTGCTACCTGCAAGAGAAGTATCTTTGGCTTAAAAAGTTGCTCCGTTCTTTGGTTTTCTTTCCTGTTGGAGCCTCACCTTAATTTCATCCTCTGTGACAGTGAAGACATCATCCACAAGGTCCCTTATAACAGGCCAGGTGTTTAGGCCAATGCTGGATTTGACACCATCTGCTATGGTTTCTGGAGGACAGGGATTGGGGGTCAGTTCCCCTTTCAGTTTGGACTTGTAGCAGTCATCTGCATTCAAGGATTCAGCAGCATATACCTTCACAGTAGGTCTCAAAGCCTGGGAAGAGGAATAGTAGACACCTTACCACTAGCCACTGCCTGCATGCCTGCAGTAAAATAGGCAGTACAGTTAACACCTTTCTGACCAAGTAAGAGCCTTCTCTGATAGGTGTAATGAAAATATGACCTTAAAGCACTTTAAATTGTATGCCTAATACTGGCCTTCAGTTGCCTAGATCATATCTGGTTCTATTGGTAACTTGAGAAAACAGTAGCCCCTGACTTGGATAGTAGGTTGGTGAGATGGAATTCAGGGAAAGACTGATAGGGTGCCACTCACTGTCATTGCTTTTGTGCTGTAAAGTCATAAATTAAGGAAAGGGTGGTGAGGCAGGGAAGGGCCTTTCATCTCAATTGCTAAGAAATGAGAACGGCAGTTTAGGGGGAATGTTGAGCAAGTACCACAGTGTACTGTGATGTGAAATAAAATCCTCTATGCCTAAAGTGGGGAGTCTTCCAGAAGTTTTCTTACCTTAACTGTAATTGCTATTCCAGCAATCATTCCTCCTCCTCCTACAGGTACCACCAGTGCATCTACCAAAGGAACCTTTAGTGAAAAGAATATAAAGTATAAGTAGGCCTATTAAACACTAGTTTTATTTTTTTTTTATTTTTTTATTTTATTGATTTTTTTTTTACAGAGAGGAAAGGAGAGAGATAGAGATAGAGAGTTAGAAACATCGATGAGAGAGAAACATCGATCAGCTGCCTCCTGCACATCCCCCACTGGGGAAGTGCGCACAACCCAGGTACATGCCCTTGACCGGAATCGAACCTGGGACCTTTCAGTCCACAGGCCGACGCTCTATCCACTGAGCCAAACCGGTTTCGGCTAAACACTAGTTTTATATGTACATATTAAATAGTTGGTTCTGTGGTACATATACACAATGGAATACTATGCTGCGGTAAAAAAAAAAAAAAAGGAACTCTTGCCTTTTGCAACAGCATGGATGGAAATGGAGAGCATTATGCTAAGTGAAATAAGCCAGTCAGAGAAAGATAAATACCACATGATCTCACTCATTTGTGGAATATAGAGAACAACATAGACTGATGAACAGGGACAGACCCAAAGACTGAGAAACAGCGATCAGGCTATCAATCCCCAGAAGGAAAGTAGGGGAGGGCGGGGGTAAGGGGAAGAGATCAACCGAAGGACTGGTATACATGTATATAAGCCAAACCAATGGACATGGACAACAGGGGGATGAGAGCATGAGTGTGTGTGTGGGGGGGAGGGGGGAATGAGGACACATTTGTAATACCTTTAATAATAATAATAATAAATAGTTGGTTCTACAAACATCAGATTTACCAGTAGTTCAGCAAGAACTGACTGGGCTTTTACCTGGTTCAGCACTTCCATGGCAATTGTCCCTTGCCCAGCCATCACTGCAGGTTCTTGATTGGGATGTACCATGATGCCTTCTGTTTCTTCTATAATTCTTTTGGTAATATTTTCTCTGGACTGAAAGAGTACATTATTTTAGCATACTTGATCTGTATTTAGTAGTGTTTTCAACAAATTAGATTCAAGCATTTAACACTTCATTGGCCATCTACTTTTTTGAGACTTTGGGCACTGGGAATATAACTGAACAAAACAGTCCCTGTGCTCCAGGGAGTTATGTTCTAACTAGAGGCCCGATGCATGAAATTCATGCAAGGGGCTTGGCCCGTCGCAGCCCAGGCTGCCTCATGGCCCTGTCCACTGGTCATTTTGCCGTCTGGTCTACTTAGCATATTAGCTTTATTATATAGGATATGTTGGGGAGGGGCGGAATATAAGTAAATCTATAGTATGTCTACATGCTATGGAGAAAATTTATACAGGGTACCCACAAAGGGCCGCTGATAAAGTGATACTTTAATAGATGTGAACCCAGAATATTCCAGGGAAAGTAATTCCAAGTGCAAAGACTGCAAAGCTCTTGGCCTTTCTGAGAAACTGCCAAGTGTGGTTGGCGTGGAGTGTTGGGGGTGGATAACTGGAGATGAGGTCAGAGTGATAGGAATGGGCCAGTCCCTAGGCCTTAGATGATTGAAGAACTTTGCTTCCCACTGTGTATGAGATGGGAAAACACTGGAGGATTTTGAGCTGACAAGAGAAGTTCTAACTTACTATGGATAACTGGTTGCCCTGAAAACAGACTAGTTGGACAAGGGTGGAAGCAGAAACACCAGTTAGGCGGCTGCTGAATCTACCTGAGAACTGATGTTGGTTTGAAGCAGTAGTAATGGTAGAGGCTGCTAGAAGTAGGTGAATTGTGGAAATATTTTGAAAGTAGGTCCAAAAATTGGATGTGGAGTGCAAAAGTTACCAAGATGACTTCAGCATTTGTTTTTAGCAACTAGTTTGCCATTTACTGAGATGAGGAAGACTGGAAGAGGAGCAATAAAGGGGGGAATGAGATCATTTGGTTTTAGACAGCAAGTTTGAAATGCCAATTAAGACATCCAAGTAGGGACACTGAGTAGCTGTTGGATATACAAATCTGGGTTAAGGGCAAAGTTCAGGCCTGGAGTTGGCATATAGATGGGTGATATTTCAAACTATGAGACTAATATCAGTGTAGGTAAAGAAAAGGTTAGGCATATATAACAAGGAAACAGGAGCCGTGGCCTGTGTGGCTCAGTTGGTTGGGCACTGTCCTGTGCACCAGAAGGTTGCTGGTTCAATTCCAGGTCAGGCTCAACCCCCGGGTGGGGGGCATGCAGGAGGCAGTTGATCAATGTTTCTCTCCCTTTCCCTTTCTTTAAAATATAAAATCTTTAAAAGAGAAAAAAAGGAAAACAGGAGCCTGAGAAGAAGTACCCAAAAATGTAGGAAGAGAAATTTCATTTGACAGTGAAAACTGGTAAGATGTTACTGAACACTGCTCCCTTCCTCACCTCGTCGCTCTGTTCACTGTAGACTATAGAGGCTCCATAGGCTTGTATGGCCAGTTTTTTACAGTTGGGAGCTGTTTGGGGTACCACAATATAAGCAGGAATTCCTGAGATGGAGAAACACAGTTAGTACA